TAATGTGATGCAAGACATAGAGAGGGAAAATATTTTGAGTCATGAGACCCAGAACCCAGGAATCTGAAGGCAAAGCATTGTCACCACCAAGCACACCTCCACTACAATCTTAATCTTAATCTCTGATCTCACATCAGCAGTGGCAGCTGTAGGATATATTTTTTGAGCTTCCAAATGAGATTTTTTTAAGAATAGGAACCTATGGATGGCCAGAAATGACACTTTCAGACTGTGACAGACATCTGTTGGCTTGGTGTGGGCTATTTTTATATTTCTTTTTAGTTCAACTGCCCGATGTGTTCTGTCCAATGGGGGGAGGGGCTTGACCAGTCTGGTGGGGGGCTTAGGCTCCTGCTTCCCCCTCCCACACTGATTATCAGGTGTGACAAATAAATGTGATATGTCCATATTTGGGTGTAATATGTCATAATCATGCTCGTTTACGAGCACATCACACAAATTTGTCACAAAAAATTTGACAGTGTGGACACAGCTTTAAGCTCTGTTCACACTGTCAGGTTCTATGTGACAAAATTCCTGAATTTTTGTATTAAAATGAATTTAAATAATTGGAAATGATACTTTCTTTTATCTGTGACTTGATTTTTAGTATTATTAAATGATCTTATTAATTTAAATAAATGTTGATATTATCAGTGTGACTAAAGCAATATAGTATTAGACATCTAACCTTGTTACCTGATAGAACAGATCCAGTCATGTCATCTCGCTTGATATAAATATCAATATCATCTGGTATATTTGGAAGACTCCATTTATGAATAAGTGTAAATGGCTGGAAAAGCTAAAAAATATTTATTTACCCTTATTAATTGAGAAAATTAATGGAGTAACTGGCGACTAAGTGCTACCATATAGTGTATGCATTTGAAAAGTCTGTAGATTTACGTACATAAACGTACACATAAACTGATATCCAATTTTAAATTTTGAGACATATTTTGAAAATATTATTTTGATCTTAACAATTGAATTTGTTCCACAGGAACTGAATGTGTTTGAACTGGTCATCTGGCAAACTTACTGTATTCCCATCTTTTTAATAAACATTTCCTCGTAATAGAGGTTGGCTGTAGACAATATACAATTGGATTTTTTCCTACCTTAACTTTCACTAATGGAATCATTTGAAGGTGGCTTGCCCAATCAGGTGGCCTGTAACTGAGTAGTTTATTTGAATTACTCTTTGTGTGTCTGCATCTGTGATTCGTTGTTGCAAGCAGTAGATGTCTTTTTAAATGATTGATCTTCACCTGGCAAATGAGAGCCTTTGTAACTTTGAATGCAATCATCATGACATTAACATAAATTTGTTAATTACCTGTTAAAAAAAGAATTTATAAACATTTTATTAATTATTACCAAATACATTAACAAAAACACCATCATTCTTATCACTCCAATGTACCTATTTAAGAATGCAGATTTTTTTTAAAAACCCACCTCTGGCTCAGCCCTTCGGCCCTCAGATAACGCTGCGCACTATAGTTACACCCATAAATACTTAGCCACCCCCCCCCCCATAAATTATATCCCCCAGTCGGACATCTTAGCCACCCCATAAATTATATCCTAGAGCCACCACTGTCAAGGAGAAGAGCGATCTGACTTCATTTAAAACCCGACTCGGGGTCTGCAGTGCAAGAAGCAGGGACATAGCTCTTGGCCAAATGCAACAAACATTTTCATGTTACTTACAATAAGCTAGGCCTAGACTCAGCGGTGAAGCCAGAGATTTGCCGACAATGGGTCTAACGGAGGTCTGAGACAAGCAAGCGCCAATGAAGCCTCGGCCCTGAATAAAACCTCCCTTGGACCTTGTAGGGTGCACGGGGAGAGTTTTTATGGCTTAGCTAGACTAGAATGGTCCAATGTGCAATAGACCACAATAATATGACACTGTCGACAGTCAGTCAAAATAATGCCACGGTATGTTTAATTTGGATAGGTAAAAAACTATTATTTTTAATTTTGGATCCGAACAACTTAGGAGTGCGTTGAACGACAGGGGGTCTATCCAATGGGGGAATTCCCCCTGCCGCCCCAACCCCCGCTGTGCTGGAGCCACCACACCACAGACTAGGGCCAGGCTAGTTCAGAATCAGGCCTTAATTAAATAACCTCAACTGTACGTACCTGGTCTAGCCTACTACTACTTATTTTAGGCTTCCAGACCAGATAGCCAGCCCAGCCTACCAAGGCTGGACCTAGGCCTACCTACCTAGTACTCTAAGCCGGGCCCTAGCTAGGCCCCAACTAATAACAAGCCTAGCTGGGTAGGCCTAGCCTACTACTAGCCTAAGCCTCCTTCGTTCAAAATGATAGTTAATAATAATCATTAAACGTTTGACCTTAATGGCTATTTAAAGTATCAAATGAATGACTCCTTGTTTACTGTACGCTACGTACTACAGTTTTTGGGGGCCGGGGACAGAAACGGCCTCGAGTCGTCGAAGTGGCCGTAAGTCTATAAACAAGTAATTTGTATGGAGCGCCAGGCGTGCAGTGTCCAATCGTTGTGTATGTTGGACAATTAAGCCGCCTACAGTAGGTATCAGACTGCGATGAAAACTGTTTAATAAATTATCAAATCAATGTCTAATTGATGTTTTCCTAACTTGTGTTGTGTTTGTTATGACCCATTATCAGTTGTTACATTAAATGCAATTTAAAGGATTAACAAATATATACCTCTATAAGTTTTTTCCCTTTGGTTTAGGCAGGCTTATTGTAATTAAAAAACAAAACAAAACTTAAATTTTTGGTTTGTACCTGTTTTATATTTTATCTTTATGATAAATTACATACATTTCCGAGTGACATTTTTCAACTGTGTTATTAGAAACATGTTTTCGCAAATATATTTAAATTTATTAGACTTCTCTCTCAAAAAAAAGGTAACATCGTCACAAAAATAAAAACAATAAAGAAATGCGTTGTGTCTTATTTTGTACTAATTTTATATTCATTAATAAACTACAGTAAGACTTCTACATCCTTCCTTCTATCGCGCAGCCAGTGACGTGTGTGGATGGGGTTTGTACCTTTGTACGTTTGTGTGGGCGAATCTCCTCCGATCAACGCATGCGAACTGACTGACATACAGTAATTGCCCTCTCCCTCTCTCTCAGAAAAAAAAAATGGAAACTTAGGTTTTCTTCGTCTGTAGGCCTGTCTTGCCAATATAAGAGCGTGTGAACAGGCACAGTGCGGTGTGAAATTGTCCAAAAATATCAGGGGCCGATCCAGAAATTTTCTGACGGGGTTGAGGTGGGGGGGGGGGCAATAGGCTATAGTCCACACTCACCTCAGTCCCACTATGGTTGGGGCTGAAATGAGCAAATTTTAATAATAGGCCCCCCCTCCAGACGGGTGGAAAAGACACTCTCAGGATCGACATTTGAATATTTTATCTCATTTTTTTAAATGTTTACAATGTATGGGGGTCCTTGCCGGCTGAGCAACCCACCTCTACTGGATTAATATAATATATGCCATGCAGTCGATGTCAGTGACACATTATGCTGTTATGTATCAATAAAGCCCTTTTTGGATCAGGGTGCTATAGAGCGAGGACGTACTGGACCATATGCGTAGGGGCACCAAAGTGGCCCCTAAGGGTTGGTGGCCCTGAGAACCGCCACACGAAGTGCATGCGTTACGCCACTGAGCATGGATAGCTGTTCTATAACAGCTGGTATTCCGGCTAAAAAAACTCAGTCTTTGTTCTCCGTCTTTTGACATTTTTTACATCCTGATATGAAATCGCTGTAAAAAATCACCGTCGACCGGGGATAGTAGCATAGTGTTCGTCAATCAATAAAAAATTCAAAATTAGTGAGCGGTAAAATAATCGAGCTCTCCTTTTGCCCACTGCTGGATATGCCACTGAACTCACGGTACCTTTTTTCTCCTTACCCCCTCCCCCCTCTATCATTATCATCATTATTATTAATCATTCACATCATCATCTCCATATCAGCATTATAACCATTGAATACTACTTAAGCATTTTCCTCTCTTTTTTCTTTTTATTATTTATCGCTAAATTTCAATCTTCAAAAGGCGTAATTACAAGAATACAAGCTCAATAATACAAATCTATTTACCATTTTGATCATTTTCTTGTTGCTATGAAACTTATCATTTATTGCAATAGACCTAAATATTTTTATTACTATAATCATTATTATTGCTACTATTATTATATACATGTTTCTCATTCCAAAGTGACAGTCATTGGTATCCATAAATTACAGCTATATATAGCTTAAATATTATGGGAGAAGAAATGAGGCTAGAGCCCCAGCCCACCCCCGCCCCCAAAGGGACAGAATAAAGGGAAAGGAGGAAGTGGGGAGAGTAAAAAATCGTATCAAAAGCTCTGCATGATACCATTTCTCTATGTACTGTACTCTAT